GCAGGCTACTACAAAAGAGAAAAACCAGACATCTTACAATGAGGCATGGAATATTCAAGCGAGACTTAAGCTGCCCTTAAAAGTCCTAGCTCACTCTCGTTCTTCTTGGTTAAAGGAACTCTAAATCTTTGCTAACAACCCTGAAAAAACAGTGTTCCGTTCGGCCCGGTGAAACCGACCGCCACCCACGAGATTAGAACCCAAATCCAAACTCTTGAAAAAAAATAAGAATTTAAAACTTTTGTGACACATAACGCGGCAAGCTCCCCCTACAGGTACTACCTGATAACCAAACAACTTTTACAAATTTTGCTGATGGAAGTTGTCACACTTGTCAACCCGACTTGCTTCTAATGCGTTACTCGTTCAGACCTTCAGGATTGTGGAGATGACCTATGCGATGTTTACAGGAACAGGAGTGATCATGTACCTTATAAGGCAATTGAAGGTAAACAGATGCTAACTCATATTACGGCATTGTGGCTTTTTCTCAGACAACTGATTTAATGGTTCATTGACCATTTTCTTAGCTCCGCCTTGAAAGTTAACGGGCTAAACCAATATTCCCGTGGAGGAATGCAAGCGCGATCTTTGACTAAACAAAGCTCTCCAAAATACGTTTCGCTGCTAATTTCACAGATCTATATATTTTTTGTTACTGCAAATAAACGTCTCAAGAACAATAAGCATTCTGCGCGATGAAGTTACCATCATGTTTCATTACTGTTGATAACAAATATATATTAACCTGGAAGCGTCAAATTTTTCACTAAAAATCTAAAGTGAAATAGAAGGGAAAAAATATCGGGTAAAATCGAATCAAAAAGTTTTAAGGCCTGATTTTTTCGTAATTTTTACTACTCTTCCTCTTCCTGTAGGTCGTTGTAGTTAGCTGCGCAGTTCAGTATGAGATAGGCGAGAAAAACCTTCCCGACAGAGGTGAGAGTTTCCAACAGGCTCGTCGAAAATAGGATTAAAATCTTGTAACTACAACATGGATAACCAAGCTTGATCTTACACCAACATACCTCATTATGGAACAATTGATACAAAAATTCTGCCGCTAGAAGTTGTCACAAGGCCAACCCTCTTGGATTTCGATGCGTAGCTCGTGCAGACCTTCCAAATGTTCGTGCTGACTGATGCGATTTACTTTGAATAAACTTATATTCCCGCATGTTCACGCTCGACACTGCGAAAATGGTAACTGAAGCGTAGTACGCAATATGTGCAGCCATACTCTGATATGTGCCCCCTGGCGTAAAAAATTGAAGTAAATAAATAAAGTCCTATTGTTTTCTCTTTCCATGGACTAGTGATTCAAAATTGAAGTTTCCGGTATGTGTTTTTATACTTTGAATAGGGTTCTCATGGACGGATGGATGATAATTCATGTGGCATTTGCTCATTTGCAGTCTGGATAAAAATACCGCTGCGCTGCTATAGTGACGAGAAAACAACAGGGCAATAATTGTGTCCAATACATTGTGTCCAATGTATTCAGTTCGAATTCCATGCATTTCAAGGCTGACTGAATCATCCCCGAGTTCTTAAGTGTGCATAGAAATTCGTCTTGCTGGCTCACTGTTACAAAGTGAAGGATTCCTCAGCTTCCTGAGATCAAGCACAGCGCATGCTCACAAGTTAAAATTCGTAGTTGAAATAGAGACCAAGAAGGAACAGTTGTCAAAAAACTGATTTCATCCACGTCAGCCCAATGTGTAGGGAGCGTGTCATTCTCTGAGACCGTTACACTAGGTTGAACTCATAAGTTTTAAAACAGCTAATCTTGCTCAAAACAATTTATTTGATAAGACCGCAATGAAGCAATTAGAAGGATTTATTTCATGTTTTATGAAAAAATTGATCACAGTACAAATGTTGAAGTAGAATAACTCCTTGACAAAATATTTCTAACGTGCCGCACTTTGGCCTACTCGGGGCTTTGAATTTCCGATTGTGATGACAAGAAGGGTTGATGCTATGATTACAAGCGTAGTGGGACTATTATAACTTTCACTTTCTATTGAAACATATCTTAAGTCTGTAAAGTTTTCAAATGTTGGAGTCTTGAAAAGGTTTGCGTCTGATCCTTAATTTTAAAAGATCGTGATATCTGTTCGATTTTTTGAATGATGCTATAGTGAGACATCAAATGAAAAGGGTCTTGATCTTAACCTCTTAAAACTGCATGTTTGTTCGAATTGATAATTGGTGCTATGATTCTTACAGGACAACGAGCTCATGTCTCTTTCAGTAAATATAAACATGATTCGCTCTTCGCTATGTACGTTTGGTTATTTTTTCATCGCAAATATACATTGAATCAATGATTTTTAATGATTATCATTTCCTAGTCAGCAAGCCTTGCTGCTTGATGGAGGACAAATTGTGTATCTTGTCTTAAATTCGGAAATAAAACTCCACAAGTTTGAATGTTTTCTCACAACAATGGGTAAGAGCGATTTTGGTTACATTTTGTTCATCTACGTCATTTCCGGAATGTTTCTGTAGATGCGAAATTCAGCAAAAATGAAGGTGTTACTCAAATTTTGGAAATCATATTCTAGACAGGGCTTCTGATAGGGTGCGGCAAAAAATGGGAGTTTCTGCGGCATTTTCAAGGGAAATTATGCGACAAAAAAGGTCTATTATGCAGCAAATTATGCGATTTTTCAAAAAGCTGATTTAACATTGTTTTTTAAGGTTTCAGAGGAGGAAACCCAATTTTTTTGCTGTCCAACAGGCAACTAGAGCATAAAGAAAAAACAATAAAAGCACCCAAATTAAATCAATTGTTGCCTCATTTTCATTATTTCAATCTGAAATGGCTAATTTAGTCAATTTAATGTCACTTGATTCCTCCTTAATTAGACAACGTTACAAATTTCAGTTTTACATACTAGATAGGCTGTCTGTTCCGGCGATTTAACGAGGATTTAGGACGACGAATACGTTCAGTTTTAGCATGACTTATTTACGCAACGAACTACACGACAAACTCTAGACAGAATGGCGAGAGTAAAACAAACAAAACAACAACGAAACCGCATGCCACACAGCAGTGTCACGTGCACGAGTTTTGGCGCTAACACTGTCAATTAAGGTATGTCCATATGCTATTTCAAATATCAGGCCTCGACAGACCATACAACCTATTGCAACAAAAATAACTTGAACAAAGTAGAAACGTATATTTCTGTGGGCTACACAAACTTGATACATTTGATTCAAATGAGAAGCGATAAATCACTCAATGACATCCCCACAATACAAGTTACCATAACTATCACAACTAAGTGAAACCGAACAGTGGATGCCTTTTGTGTATCTAATGCTATTCTTGGCAGGGCCTCTGATTTTAAATATTCTGCGATGTTGCGATTCCAGAATGATGCTTTGTGTCGAACTCGTGTTTTTTGCACAATGACTAGTAATAAGGCCCTCGTTCGCGGGAACGAGATGGATAAGTTTATTTTCTCACTTTTCTTTCGTGACTGGCTTGGCTACCAAGCGCACTATTACGGCACGCACGTTCTCAATGTAAGTACAAAACAATCGGTCCATACTTTCATGACGTGTCTTGGTCTAATTTTGATTGGTTCGTTATAACAGCTCCCAGTTCTCAGTTAATTTCATAGTCCACGATGTCGTAGATTTCATGGACAACGACGTTTATTAATAAAGGTAAAATCTGCATCGATAAAGTTGCCCGTGAACTACAAATGTCCGAAAGTAATGGCGAATGTGTCATAAAAACAAAGGCATGAGCGTACTGAACAAAAACAGTATTTTTACCAAAGGAATATGTACCTCATTATTGCGAAGCATGGTGATACATAATGCCTGCCGTGTGTGTAGAATCCGCAAACTTATCAACTGTTGACTGTGGACCACTGTAGCATGGGGGTTACAAGTGATGACAACAAAATGACTCCGTCAGTGAACAATTCAGTTTCCAGAGTGTCTACTACATTACCGTTCGACACGACTGCAATTGGAAAAGAAAACTGGAGCTCGGAGATCACTTTTAATTTGACTATGCAGGCTTTCGCGAGCAGCTTTCCAGGGTTCAATTTGTTACAATCGAAAGTACTAGAAGTTTGGGAAAGCAAGGATGCAAGATTTCAAGTATGTGTATGGATTATTTGGTTAGATTTGATGTTAAATACCTATATGAATTGCTCTGTATCTCCTGTTTGGTAAGCCAACCGGCACTCGTGTATATGATGCAATTTTAAAGTTTCCTCGGTGCTAAACGGCCATTCGGCAATTCGGCCTGTCTCCGGTGACCTGTATTTTTCAATTGATTCACAGACGCATTTCAATATCGGATTCCTAGGAATACAGAAGACACCCCCATCCAAAGCTAGCCATTAGAATTTACAAAAAGTTGTCATTTCAAACTTTACAGTCTTGTTTAATATTGTTCAAATTATCGGTGCTGAATTCTTTCGCATGCAACTGATATATGGCAAGATGACCTACTCACAAACCACATTTCTATGCATGCGCAAATCTCGTCTATTACATTCGTTTTCCGCTCTTTGGTGAAGAATACTATAAAAATAAAACACAGTGTGGCACAGTTTGATTTATTCTTCACCTTATAGAATTATCACTCTTCTAATATCAGTTTGCTTTGAACAGAGACTATCATTATCTTATCATGTTTTGAGATCGACAACGAAGTAATCAATGCCGCCATCTCCGAGATCTCTAGAAGCAAAAATTGATAATTGCTATGTGCTTTTATATTTCATAGTTAGAATTGGAGTCTTTAAATTCTTTTCCGAGAGGTCATCTGATGACTTAGGAAATCACCTACACTTTTAAAAGACTGTAGCTTGATTTGCTTCATGTAGAAAAGATGCCTCAGTTGGCATATTTGGTCATGTTAAAGAGGTGTACACTTAGTTATCACAGTTAAAGTTCAGCGAGGCTAAACTAGTTCAATAGTATTTGCAACGATCACTGAGAAATGTAACATCTCTTTTTAAAACTCAGCTTGTCTTGCTTAACAGTTCTCCGAGTCGGCTCAACTGTTTCAAACCTTAAGCTATTAACAGAATTACGATTTACAGGTTTTGTCTCAGATAATCAAGCTCACTCTTACACGTACATACCTCATAATGGAACGACTTTCATAAATTTTGCTGATAAAAGTTATAGCAAGTGTCCACCCGACTGGGTTTTGATGCGTAACTTGTTTAGACTTTCGGCACTGCGATGTTGACTACTGATATCTTGGGTGGGAAGACCGTTTATATACCCGCGTGTATGCGGAAAAATTGGACGCGTACGACCAGCTATCAATCACAACCGTTCGACTGGAATCGGGTACGATGGCGATAATATTGGCATAGAAGTGTTCTAGACAATGACCACCTCTGGTTTTAAACATAGATATCATCCCACATGATGGAACGACTTTCATAAATTGTGCTTATAACCACCCGACTGGCTTTTGATGCGTGACTTGTTTAGACCTGACTTGTAATATTGCTTTCCGGTTCCCACGAACACTCGTAAGGAGAGGTTCCCCGCCGATGCACCAAATATTCACGACCCTTTCAACAGGATAGTCCGTTTGCAGTTTGATTCTGATAATTCCTGCACCTATTCATATTATGGGAGAAACAATATAGTGGGAGACAACGAAGCCTCGTCAGACTGATAAAACAAAAGATAGATGTTAGTGTTTCTCCAATTAATTTAGATAACCTTAAGGCACTCAGGTTTTTTAGCACAATATTTAACCATTAGATATGATATGACACGGAGGACAGAAAATTAACAATCACTCATGAGTTCATTACAAATGAATAACTATCAACATAATTGTTATTCTCTGTTTATTTCAACTGAGCTTGATATAGTACCTACGTCTAAAATCTTCACCTACGTCACTCAGGCAATTTACACGGTTTCAGCACAACTTCCCATTTGTTCACCGCCTCAGTACTTACATGAGACACGGAATCAATACAGTTAGACAAGGCAAAAACAAACAAAAAATTGACATTGTTATTATTTTGTATTATCTTTTACTCACACACTCCTTAAAACGGTTATATCGGATTCCATGAATCAATCAGAATCAGGGAAAAGAGTAACGCAACAAATCCTTTCATTTGTAGGTTGTTTTTTCTTTTTTATTCAGACGTATTTTTCTTTGTTTTCTTCAAAAGCACCTTGGCTTAACGAGGGGGGTTATAATATGACTCATTTTAATCAATTTATTTAGGCTCACACACAAACAGACACGCACTGAACACATACAAGTCGCAATAAAGCGAGTTAACTTTCTAACGCTTGTGAATATATGAAAATCATCTATATGCAGTTCATATAATATGATTTTCATATATTCACAAGCGTCACTTCACAGATAAATTACGAATCAGCACAATGACCAGCTCCCAGTTGGCTTGTTTTCACTACTGCTTAAGTATTGTTTATTTCTGCGAAGATCGATCTCACACTAATTAACTTACTAAGCTAGGAATGATGTTTTTTAAACAATCAAACAGTGGCCTCCAAAAAGCGATTAGTGTTAATATGAAATTTTGTATTTCGCGAAAAAAAGCACAGTTGACATCGTAAGTAAGTAAGTAAGTAAGTAAGTAAGTAAGGACTTTATTTATAGAGGGGGACACGTAACAGCTGTATAGCTGACAAACCTGTGGCCCTCTAACTAGATTATACAGCATTACAAAAAACTGATAAATAAATAAATATATAAATAATTAAAAAATTCTATAATAGAAATAGCAGGAGAGATTAAAATATTCAGAAAGATAAAATTAATTTATAAAAAATTAAAATTAGATAATGTGCGATCATCTGCTATTGTGTACAGAACTGTTCGTCTTGAGCAAGTCTCTGATGTAAATCGGAACATCGCCTTTAAGGCTCTTAAAAATCATTGTACATTTATTTAGTTTGATTTCATCAAAAAAAGGCAACCAGCCTAGTTTACTAAAGTTTACAACACTTCTAGAATAAGAGTCCACTCCAAGAATTACTCGGGCAGCTCTTTTCTGTAACGTTTGCTATTTTTCATTGTGAGGGAAATGTACAAGTTTCAAAACAGTGATTTAAAATTTTAGCTATGCAGCATGATATTTCAGGAGCTGCAATCCTTAGAACTCTGGCACCAAGCCCATCGATTCCCGTGGCTTTGTGTGTAGGTATAGTTAGAAGATAATCGTTAACTTCACTAGGAGTTATTTGCGGAATAAGCTTCTCAAGTTGACTGTTAGGTTAGTCTGGTGGACCAGGAAGAGCATCATAATGAAGTACAGGTGTCGCCTTTATGAGACGTTTATATACATCAACGAGGAAGCGTTTAAAGCGTTCAGCGATTGAATGGTCATCCTTTATCAAGTTGTTGTTTTCGTCAGCAATAGGGACGGAGTCGTCGTTATTCTTTGTATCATTAGATAGGTCTTTAATTAAAGACCAAAGTTTCTTTCGACATTTTTTTTAATTTACTGAACTGAGTTTTAAAGTACTGTTCCTTCGCATTTCTTAGTTTCCTCGTCACTTTGTTTTTAAACAGTTTAAAAGCAGACCAATCTTGCTCATTTTGTGTTCTCCTGGCCCTCTTTAGAAGATTATCGCGTTTACTTATTTCGTTGTATAGATCATTAGTAAACCAGTTCGGCTGATTGATTTTCTTCACACTCTTGGACTTTAAGGTCGGCACACACGAGGGGACTAGTCCCTGCGATTGGTCCGTGCGACTAGTCCCGGCGACAAGTCTTTGGAGGGTTTACA